AAAGAAAAAAGAATCTCTAGACAATAAAAAGCAACACACACACAAAAAGTACCATACAAGTAAAATACAAGTGAAAATGAGCCAACCTGAAGCCCTTGGTGGGATTTAAGAAAAGTGTTCACCTAATTATGATGTTAATTTCTCCCTCTGAACAGACGAGATGGTAACACTGGATCCATTAAGTATGCTTTATAATCCAAGGACACTTCCTAACTCCGCAGTGAACAGTCTTTTTTACAGCCTTTTTAGTTATAATAATAAATACTAACTAATTTCAATTTTTAGAGCCAATTTATGAACAAAATACTGGTAAGGTTGCAAGAATGAGCTTCACACGTCCTATTAATGTAAAAGACATACGGTTAACAAAAGGTATGAAGTGGCAAGCAAGCCTGGAAGCTAAGGCTTTTTTCATGAGGTAGTATGCCCAGGTGAGAAAGCGTAACGGATAATCTCGGGAAGCGTATCAGGGTCAACACATAAAAATCACAGGTCTTTATATTTTCTTACACCCCTCAGTCATGCAGGGCTAAATAAGCCAGGTTTCTCCTATTAGTACACATATACTTTATCCTGAGATGTGTTTTCCAACAAAGTTTTGCCTTAAAAATGTTCTGTTCCAGTTCACCAGTGTAATCTCAGGGTTGGCAAATTTGGGGGGGAAGGTCTAGTTCAGTAGTGGTGAACCTATGGCATGTGTGTCAGCAGCAGACACACACAGTTCTCCCTTGCCCCAGCCAAGGCTTGACAAATTATCAGCATGTGGCCCGTGAGATAGCCCAGCGGACTAAGTGCCTGCTTTGGCAAGTGTAGGGATCAGATTCATTCCCTGGTCCTGTGTGCTGAGTGCTGGGCCCGCAACTGAGTCTGGGTGTGGTAGCGCACACCTGTAATCCCAGTGCTGGGGAAGCTGAAAACAGGAGATCACTATGGGTCCGAGCTGCCTAGCGACACCCTTTACCAAATACATAAAATGCAAAAAAAAAAAAAAAAAAAAAAACCAGCATGCATACAAGAACAAAAATTACATTAACTGTGGAAAATCACACCAAATTCAAACCTCTACCTTTCAAAAAAAGCTGTTTGTGGGCGGGAAATATAGCTCAGTGATACAAATGCCTGCCTAGCAAGCGCAAGGTCCCGAGTTTGAGTTTTAATACCAAAAAAAAAAAAAAGGAAAAAAAGAACTATTTATATCATTAAAAGCTGTTACTGTGCTTTTCTTCTAAGACAAAGGATGTTAACATAGGTTTTTTTTCCCCCTAAATTATTATTTTTTAAAAATTTTATTTATTTATGTGTGTGTGTGGCCAACTCAGCCCACCAGGGGGCGGGGCTGGCTGGCATGTGGTGCTGGGGGATTGAACCGCGGTCCCTGTGCTTTGCTAAGCTTGTTCTAAGTAGGTGCTTTAGACCACTGAGCCAGCTCACCAGCCCCTTTCCCCCTAAATTAAAACCTCAATATTCAGATTTAATTGTGGCATTGGCATTTTGTGATTAAATAACTGGATTTTGGGCTGTAATCTAGGTACTCTGTCTCTAAAAGGTTTGCCATCACTGGTCTAGGCAGTAAATATCTTCAGCTAATGTGGCCCAGATGGCTTTCAAGCAATTTTGTTTGTATCCCTTGGTCAGTGTCCTGCTGCTAGTGTGAGACCTACAACACTTAGGAAACTTTTTCATAGAGTTAACACAAATTTGAGAATGAATACAGTGCCTAGAATGTATGCACTCAGTAAACCATAACTCTTGTAACAATCTGAGAATCTCAGGATGGGAAGGGAGAACCCAATTCCATATCTGAACCTTCTATATTTTGCCTAACCTCTAAATGAGGTGATTGCTTGTATTTTTTTTTTCTATTCCTTTATTTCTTAGATATCTCTTTACCTTAGGGTTTTGCCCTTATTTATTAATTCCCAATTAATAATGCTTATATTAAATTTTTCCTGATTGAATTACTGTGTAGTTTCCTCTGTCAAATGGGCCCTGGCATATATTTCAGCGACTAAATGAAATATGTGGTCTAAATACCTAAATAAAAGGTAAGACATTGTCCCATTGGGTAAAAAAATACAAAACCCAACTACATACTGTCTATATTATATCGACTTTAAATATAAAGATACAGATAGGTGTGATTGATGGGGAAAGGTGCATTAATCAAATATCAAATTCCTGGGTACGACCAGGAATAAAGGAGAACACTTTATCATGATAAAAGGGCCACTTCCTCAGGGAGATACAATCTTTACTGAGTGCATACATTCTAGGCACTGTATTCATTCTTAAATTTGTGCTAACTCTGTAAGAGCACTAACATATCCAGTCACCTATGAGGAAAAGAAGCACACCAAGTGCAGAACTCTGCTAAGACCTCAATCTGAGCTGTTAACACTATGTTGCATATTCACAGCAGGGATCCATTTTTGCAAATAAACACAAATATTCACGCATAAGTGGTATGAAAGGTTTTTGTAAACCAAACTATTAACAGTTTTATCAATAATAGTTAAGTGCTAGCTCTACTACTGAACTACACTCAGCTCATATTTTAATAGGCAATACTGCATAGCAAAAAGTTTTGAGTCAATAATTTAAAAGTTTTGCTTTAAAAATTCAATCTGTGGCTCTGATGACCTTTAAAAACAACAACAAAAAACCCAAAAACGAAAACACCCCCCCCCCCAAAAACAGAGCAACCGTGCTGGCCAAACAGCTCAGCGGATTAAAGCACCTGCAAGCAGGCGCTGGGGTCAGAGATTGGATCCCTGGCCCTGCAGTGCTGGCCTGCCCCGGGGGCACACTGAGACTGCAACTGAGACTTGGCGTGGTTGTGCGCGCCTGTAATCCCAGCTCTTGGGAGGCTGCAAACAGGCGAATCACTACAAATCCGATCTACTAGTGAGACCCTGAACACCCTGTAGACCCTTCTCCTAAATACAAAGAAAAAAAAAATCAGAAAACACATTCTTTATGTGCAAATATATTCTACTGTAAATTACCTTCTACTTTATAAACAATTATTTTTTCCACCCCTTCCCCCCCTAAAAAAGGTTAAGCAAGTTGTTGCAACCTTCTCCAAATCCAGACAACGCCTTCAACTGCTATAGACTTTGGGAGTCTGGGTTCTGTTAGGAACAACTGCACATTAATGCTAAAGCACCTTTACAGTTAGGAACAACTACGGGTGATTATTTCCCCTCCACTGAGTGGGAGACCACGAAGGAGTCCGTCTCACACACTACACATACCTCTCCACTATTTAAGGCAACCGATGGAAAACAATTTATTCTGCGGCTACCCACACCTGATAGGGCAGAGGTGTGCCCTGCCGAAGGAAGGCCGGCCGATCCGTCGTCCCCAGGGGCCGACGCGACTCAAGCTAGGCGTTTCTCAGTGTCACCTGGGGACAACAACGCCGCGGAGCCGCCGCCTGTGGTTTTCGGGGCACAACACCGAGTCTCCCGGATCTGCCCCGCACCGGGCCACCTCCCTGAGCTACGCGCTCAAGGGCACGTCCGCTCCCGAAGGCCGGGCGCCAGCTCGTCCCGGCCAACAGGTGCGGGAGCCGGTCCGCCGGGCGCGCCCGCTCACGCACCTCCGAGGGGTGTTGAGCAGCCGCTGCTGCTCGTCGCCTTCCTCCTCCTCCTCTTCTGTTTCTGAGTCGGGGTGGCAGTAGCAGAAGGCCCCGCTGCTCCGCTTGCGTTTGCGGCTGCCCGGGCAGAAACAGAAGCCGGGGCCGGTCGCGTCGCCGCCCGCCTCGGGCCTCCGGGCCGGGCCCCCCACCCCTGGAGCCGGCTCCTGCGGGGGTCGGGCTCGCCCGGGGTGGCGCAGCACCCGGCTACTCAGCGAGCCCATGGGACCTGGCTCCCCGGAACTTCAGGGAGCACACTTCAGAGAGCCCCGGGGAGCGGGTCTCCCGCCATAGCCGGCCGCCTCCGGCCTCCGCTGCGCCCAGGTGCCTGCCTACAACGCCGCCTTCCTCCGCTTCCCACGCGCAGCCTCAACCTTTGCAGCGGATGCTTGGGCGTCCATCCTCCGCCCCGCCCGCCGCGTCTAGCCGCGCGGCGCGCATAACCGCAGAGCTACGCCCCCTCGCTTTCGCCACAAAGTGCGGGCCTCTGGGCGCGTGCGCGCGACGAGCCCCCGGAAGGGGCGGGGCGGGGCTGCGCCTGCGCAGAGGCGGGCGAGTGTGAGTCCGCGGGCGGCCCCTGCGCACTTGCCCGCGTCTCCCGGCCAAGCCAAACTTGGAAGCGGTCTCAGTTTAGCGGTGAAGTACCTTTTTGTGTGGGGCGCGACCTGGAGGTCCAGGTTATACGTTCGCTAAAGGTTTCTGAGCTCAGGGCCCTGGCCCAAGGGGCAAAAGCGTGCTCGGCGGGCTCAGCCTTGAAGGCGCTCCCACGCGGCGGGCCCCGCGCCGCAGCTTTGGTGCTCGGCTTCGCGTCTAGGGAGGACTTGCAAGAACTTCAGGTTTCTTGTTCATCGGCTACGAACATGAATCCCTTGCATTAGTGGCGAACATTCTACTCCCTTAGTATTTCTTCCCAGCATCAATGGGACCTCAATAGGGCCTGGACTCTCGGGTTTAAAGCGCCTTTAGGAAGTCCTAGCAGGTCTCTCCTGGGGTCGCACCTCTGGCCCTAGGCTCGGCTTGGTTTTAATCCCTGACTCCATAAAATGTTGATGATATTTCAAATGAATAATACGAACACCTGGGAACCCTTTCGAAGCTTGAAGTGTTTTACTCCTTCTGATTCATTCTCCCCGCCCCCAGCTTTCTTGAGGTTTGATTGATGATGCGTTCTTTTTAAATAGAATAATAAAAATATCAAGCGTCCCTCTGTGGTACGCACCCTCCTACTCCATCTGTCTACTTCCCAGTGGTGATGAGTGTCTTGAGGAGGGGATGTGTCATCACCAGGCATGCCCTTATATGCACATCCGCGTGCAATGTCGTTTCTTTTGCACATTTAAATATATAATTAAATGGAATTATACCTCGCATTTTGCACTTTCTCTTCTCTCAAACTTATACTTTTGGTTAAATCTCTAAATTTGGGCTGTTCTTTGTATGAATGACATATAATTTAATCCTGAGTGTTTTTCTATTTTAATGGTCCTATGGAGCAGAAATATGTGCAAGAGATCCAGCTAGCAGATCAGAAGTGGATTTGCTAGGCAGTTGTCAAGTTGATTAACTATTGCTGAATTGCTCTCGGGATTGATGGCATCAGTATACCAATCACTTCCCATTGATGGTACATGAACTTTGGGGGCTACCGTGAACTGGTGTCAGATTCATTTATGAGAAATCTGAGTTGAGAGAACCCGAGGCAGCTTGAGATGGAGGCAGAGAGCAATGGCTGCATGGAGTCAGCTGCAGAATTTGTTTGGTTTTTTTGTGGCCTGCACAGAATTTGTCAGCATAGAGAACATACAGGTATTTGCCATGGAGCGTGTGGGCCACCATGAGCTAGCTAGCACGAGATCATCACAGGTCCTGTCCAAGAGGCGGGGGTGCAAGGGCAAAGATTTTAGCCCAGAAAACCTAGAGACATCGCCAGATTCATAGAAACTAAAGTACACATTCCCTTTGCCGAAGGACCCGCAGGCCAGTCGTTCCCTGGTGATGAGGTTGACGGGAACTTTTAAGAATGCCCACAAGAAGCAAGCTTTAAAGCTCTGCCAAAGTGAGAGAGGCCTAATCTGCAGCAGGAATAATAACGAGCAAGGCTCCTGCACCCCTTTGTTGCAGAGAGGCCCTGGTGGCATACAGAGTGAAAGATTACTCGGACACAAGACTTAGTTCAGGGGCCTGGTGAGATAGCTCAGCAGTCTAAAGCGCCTGCTTAGGCAAGCTTAGGCAAGCCCACAGGGACTGCGGTTTGATTCTGGCATCACCTCAGCAGGCCACAAAAAAACCAAACAAACAAAAAAAAGACTTAGTTCAATCAGTGAGAGACCCGGAGCACTTTTTGCTCCCAGTTGCTTCTCAACTGAGAGCACTTAGCATTAGGGACACTCCCAGGAGTAGCAGCAATGCTGGAAACTCTGGCTTTTATTTAGAGTATCACTGTAAGGAAAAAAACCAAAACCGTAACAGAAGAGCAGTTTGTGCAAGGAAATGCGTGGAGGATATGCAGTTTTCTTGGGGAAAGGAGAAGGCCAACAGCCAGATACAACACGCTTCACTAATTGTTTTTATTTAATCATTAACTGCTCAGAGAGCCCGTGTGCGACTTCACCTGCAGTTTAACAACTTCCTCTGCAACCAAGTCCCTCACACGCTTTTGTGTTATTTTTACTTATTTATTTTTTCCTCACACTCTTGTAATCTTCGTGCTGCTACGGCCTCAAAAAAGGTCTGTGGAGGGGGCGCGTGCAGTGTGGAAGAACGCTTCAGGGGAAAAAGAAGCCCACCGTTTTCCCGTCACCAAAAGCCAGCCTCGCACTGGTGACAGGCTAAAGCTGAGTAAGAGATGCAACTGTAAATCAAGTTTGGAATTCTGAATGGATGTACTGATTACTGAAATGGTACTATTTTACAGCCTAAAAAGGCTGCCTAGCAGTACTTTTAAAAACCTAAGAGCATCTGAATTTACAGTGAAGCATAGAAGAAGTAGGTCTGTTGAAGACATATAAACTAAGAGTATTTTAATATAACAAACATTCCTCCAGGGTGGATTTACTCGTTCTTCTACAAATGTCTTGGAAGTTTCAATAACTGACATCTGTTTTAAAATTCCAGCTAGGATATATATATA